ACACTGAAGGGTTTGATCTGCAGCCTTGGCAGAAGCTTGCATGGATGTAAAAATACAATACACAGACATTAAGGAGAAAAATCAGAAACTTATGTTTCTATAGTTGTAAGTAAGAATATGTTTTAAATAAGTGAGAAATTGTATTGATAAAATGGTGAAGGGTTTATAATGTAGGGGTGAGGTTGTATAGAATAAGATGATGTGGGAAATGGATTTGTAAGGAATTCTCCAAACCTGCCAGAAGGCTCACACTGTGTGCAAACCTTGAGATAAGAAATGCTGACTTAGAAATGCCATGGGATAGGACAGACATTGCTGAGAGAGAATGGAACCAGAAACAAGTTTCAGGATGGCCTTGCAAACAAGACTGGATACTTTGGAGAAATGGAACTATGGAAGATGCATTTTGGATGTTTGGCTTTAAGGCATTTACAGCATGGTGTGAGAAAAGCTGATAGGCCAAGAAACACTTATAATGTAATGAGGAAATAGTGGGTTTCTGATTGTGATGGAGTGAATTATAACATCTGCATTGTCTCACCTTTCTCATGAGACTGAAAATGGAATAAAAGTTTTTAAAACACCTCTCAGTTGCCCCATCTCTGGGTCAGAAAAGAGCTTAATCCCATAAATTGGTGCCCTGTGTGAGGACTGAACTCACAACCTTGAGAGTTCAGATGTTCTCCCAGAAGCAGATGTGTGCATGTGAGACAGGAGCCTCTTGGGTAAAAGTATCCACAGTGCAGCAGAAGTAAAGGTGATGGGTTAGAAAAGCAACACAAACCTTGTGCCATCTGTTCACTGGGTTAGAAAGTTCTGTATTGCCTTGTAGCAAAGAACTTGTGACTACTCTTGAGCTATGGCCAGCTCCTGGCTCCTCTAAAATTTCAGTGCCTCTGAGACTGTTTATCTGAGCAATAACATCCCAAAAATAGTCCCATTCCTTCATTATTAGGGGTGACAATGATACCTCAGGCCACTAGCCACGTTATTGTAATTGCATTTAGGAAGGGCTACAGATAGGTCAGAAGAAACAAAAGGAATTAGCAAATCAAAGGAGACTCACTTGGGAGCAATATTCTCATAGCTTCTGGAAGCTCTTTCCTGGTCCTTCCACACAGGCCCTCCAGCTTTGGGTCCGTTTTCTAAACAGCTGAAGATTCTGAAAAGTGACATCATCTTTCAGATGGTCTGATCTCTGCCCAGTTGTTACTGGGAAATTGTTACTGGGACCTGAGAGGATGCATTCCCTCCCTCCTGAACCTTCTCTGTAATATGGAAACTCAAGGGAAGAAAAAGACAGCACTCAGGCAAGTTTGCAAGGTTTCAATAACATAATAGCCTGAAAATCATCAAATTGTCCTTTGCTTCAAGTTTCAGCTGCAAAACCCAAAAGATGTATTTTTCTTCCTGAAAAAAATCTGAAAAATCCTCACTTATGACAGTATTATCATTGTGATATATATCAAACCCAGATAGTTCCTTTCCTTCCCATCACAGTCCCTTCCACAGAGTCTGCAATCAAAACATTTTGGTTATCTTGGCCCATGTGCTATTTGGAAACCAATTTACAGGAGCAGGATTGTGCTGTTGTTCCAATGAACGTGCGTAAGTCAAAATAGTTTGATGTTAAATACAGATTAGTGCACCCCAGCACCAACCACAAGGTAGATGCTGTGCATACAACGGGGAAAGCTCAGCAAATTGAGAGGGTTTTGACTGCCAGTCTGACCTGAGTGGCTCATCCTGACTGAATCCATGGTGTTTCTGCTGGTTTTCTGTCTGCAGGATGAGGTCTGTAGGATGTTCCTGTTCAGATTTCCTTTCTCTGGACACTCTCTCAGCTCAGCAGTGGGGAGAGCCAACTCCCTAACCCTGGGACAGTGGGACAGTGGGACAGTGGGACAACTGACCCTGGGACCATGTGCTGCAGGTCCAGGAACCCCTGAGCAAGCTGGTTACCCCAAAGAAAGGCTGAGATAACAAGAGTTTCTCTGGGGGAGGACAAGGCCTGGCTGGAGCAGCCCTGTTTGCTCTCACCTGTACTCCTGGCCTGGGGAACTCCAGGGAACATCACTGGGGCTGGTGATACAGATTTGAGGCAAGCCAGACCCCAGCCAGAGTGAGTGCAGCTGCCTACACTGCAATCAAACTCCCAACGGCAGGGGAGACACGGCAGACACTCCAAAAAGACTCTATTTATGTTCTGCCCTCCTGGTAAATTCATTCGTGGGACCACTCATGCAAAATGCATAATGCAAATGAAACTGCTACATTTGGAATTAAGCTTATTTTCATACTCCAGTGAACACGAGTGCATTAGATTGTTTTTCTTGCCTTTTGCCTTCCTTTTCTCTTCAGGTTGTTAGCCCAGCTGTATCCCCAGAGCACTCTCTGGGGTGTGGGGAGGAGGGCAGAGGCTGCTGGGACTCGCAGCTCCAGAGCCCACGGACTCCTGAGCAGCGCTGATGTGGAACTGATGAGTGCCTGGCTGCTTTACAGCACTGCAGCCCTCGAGAAGGCTGCTCCTGCTCACTGCAGCCTCGGAGATAAATTCATGCAGAGCATGGACAATTGCAGGGGAACGAAGGGAGAGGCTGCTGGCAGCTTGGGGAGTGCCCCCTTATCCCTGCCCTGGCTCCAGCAACACAAGGAGCTGAGGGTGCTGTGTATGCTGGGCCTCTGCCTCCACGGGATGGGACTGCCCCAGCTCTGTGCAGTGAGGTGTTGCTGTGCCCACACACAATGGCACGGTGATCCCTCTCTGTCCATGCACCTCTGCCCTGCACACGCTCCCCTAGGGCACACACACTCCTCCCCAGGGGCCCGGCATGCCCTGCTCACATCACCTCTCCAGCTGATCTGCTCAGAAGCAAAGAGCTAAAGAGACACTGCCAGCTGATGAGGCATGGACTGGGATGGGGAGGAACCACAGAGACCAGACCTGCAGCACCCCCTCTCCCAAGTCCTCCTCTTGCAGACCCCACAGTAAGCCTGGTCCAGCACTGCTCTGTCCTGGCACTCCCAGATCAGCACTGGTGGGTGCAGGGAGGAAAGATGAATGTGGCCTTTCAGACAGGGATCATCTGTAGGCACTTCAGAGGAAGAGAGCTGCCAGCATGGCTGCAGGGAGCACAACTCCCACGCAAGCATGAAGCAGCACTCCCCTTGCCTGTCTCCCCACTGCTTTGTGGCAGGCACTGCAGCAGTGACCGGGGATCACCCCTTCCCCCTGCCTCCCTCCTCGGTGTGGAAGCTGGAGAAGCTCCCAGTGTCAAACCCTCTGCAGGAACGGCAGCCTGGGCCGAGCCCTGTTTGACACAGGCGGTGGTGTTTGCTGTTTGGGCTCTGCAGCGCACACAGATTCTGCATTGCAGTCCCAAACTGCAACCAGCACCATCCCTGCCCTGCCCTGGCAGCACTGCCCCACCCAGAGGGCACCCGGCTGTGCTGTGCCAGGGCCCAGGACAGCAGCATGGAACATCCCTGGAATGGCATTAGGAGACAGAAGCTAGGGATGGCTGCTCGGTCAAACTACGAGAAGTGAGAGAGGGAAAAACACTGATCTGCTTCTGTCTCGTCATTTTTAAAACAAATTCAGTACAAAACATCAAAAATCCTTCAGTCCTCTTCAAGCACCTCCTGGAAGGGAAGTCAAGGAGCAGAGGGAAACAAGTGGGGAGCTGTGCAGTGCTGTGGGTGCCTGGAAATCTGGGAGAAGAGACTGAGCCACCACCTCGGATTAGGGGAGAGGGAAGCAAAGCAACCGCGGGAGAGGCCAACACACCTGGAGAGATTTCAGTGCCCTGCTCAGCCCTGACTCACTGAGTCACCCCAGAAGGACACTTGTGCTTTGTGCTTTGTCCACCTCTGTGCACTGCTGCCTGCACCACGAAGCCAATGAACACACAGTGAATTCTGAGGGCTGGGCTGCCTCTCCCCAGCACCTGTCCAGCACCTTGCCCAATGTCAGACCTCAACGAGGCTCTGCTCTGCTCTAAGGGAAGCCCTCACAAACGGTAACACCACATGGATGAAGGCTGAGATTTGTGAAGCATGCCCCAGAGTGCTCTCCCTGTGAGTGTGGGCTGCTTGGAGGAGGGAAGGGCTCAGCTCTATCATGAATTAGTGTTGTGACAGCTCGCTGCAATCGAGCCATGACTTGCATGGTTGCTTCCCCTTCACATTCCCAGGAGCATGCTCTGCATTAGATCATGCTCTGCAGCAGGCTCTGCTCCAAAACACAACACAAAGTACAGGGACGAAGATGAAATTGCTCTGACCAGCTTTCCTTGTCTTGAAAATACGCTCCTGACATGTGGAGAGAGATGCAGGGAGCTTTCTCTCTGCTTCAGAGATCACAGAGACAGGAGGAAAACAACTCATTTTTAAGCTACTTTGCAAGGTTGCGGCTTCCCCCACATTATTCCTGACAACTCACCCTGCATCCTGGAATAGCCCCTGGGAGCAGCACAGGGTTCCAGGCTTGTGGGGATCTTGCTTTTCACCAGACCTTTTTCTGCAGATTGCTCCTCCTTCCTTTTTCTCTTTGCACAGTGTCAGAGAATATAGAAAGCAAGAGGGTTCTAACACATGTCCATGCTTATCTCTTCATTCAAGAGATAAGCACAAAGCAGCAGATGGCAAACAGATGCCACAGGTTCTGCAGATCAGCTGTCTCCAGCCCTTTCCTCAGAGCTGGTCCTGGACCTTTGTGGGCTCTGAGAGGGCAAGCCCTCACTGCCTGGCTGATTGCTCTGCTCACCAGCCACACAAGTCCTGCAAGGGGCCCACCTGTGCCCACCCTCCTGCCAGCCACTCCACAGATCATGTGGATACCAATCCCAGAGCCCACAGCACCAACAACGTGCAGAATTCCCTCGGGAACCTGCTCCAACAAAGCATCAGGCCCCGACACAAGGGGCAGGAAGGAGAAGGGGCGTTCAAGGAAAGCACTTGTGGGAGAGCAGAGCTGCAGGCAGAGCCCGGGGCTGTCTCACCTCCTCCCACTGGTGGATGTAGCGGATGAGGCGGGAGAGGCGCAGCAGGCGCAGCAGGCTCAGGATCTTGGTGAAGCGCACGATGCGCAGGGCCCGCGCCGTCTTGTACACCTCGGAGTCGATGCGCGTCTCCACGATCAGGAAGATGTAGTCCACGGGGATGGAGGAGATAAAATCCACCACAAACCAGCTCTTCAGGTACTTCATCTTGATCCTCTGCGGGTCCAGGATGATCTCGGTGTTGTCCTCCACCACGATGCCTGTCCGGAAGTTGAGGACGAGGTCGATGAGGAAGAACGTGTCCGAAACCACGTTGAAAACAATCCATGGGGTGGTGTTTTCATCCTTGAAGAAAGTGATGCCCACAGGGATGATGATCAGGTTCCCTACCATCAGCAGCAGCATGGTCAGATCCCAGTAAAACCTGGACAGCAAGACAGAGACATGTGAGATCAGGCACAGAGCAGGAGGTCGGGGAGCCCGGGTCAGCTGCACTGATGAACTCATCCATCTCTGCTGTCAGTCATTCCCCGGCTCTGTGCTCCGCCTGAGCACTGCACAAGCTGCTAATTGACTAATTAATATCAGAGGAACACTTCTGCTCTGCCTTCAAGGGCTCACAAAGGAGCTGAGCCAGGGCTGGGCATGCCTGCTTGAACACTTTCCTGGGACCTGGGAGCTGCCTGGGGAGAGACTGAAAAACCTGTGGTTGCTACAGGGACTGCTGGGTAAGGAGAGAAGGACTGGGGAGACCTCAGAGTCTGTGTGTCAATAAAACCATGTGGGGTTAAACCATCAGGCTGTGCTTCTGCTGTCTGATCCTTCTTTAGAAGCAGCCAGCACTGACAGCTTTGGGATCAGGATGGAACTGGAGCCTGTGCTCTCATCTCCAGCCTTCAGTGCCCAGCTGGACTCCAGGAGTTGAGCCCGCACGCTACAGGCTCCTGTGTTGTACAGAAACAATCAATAAAGCTTGGAGTCACGTGCCTAGAGACACCTATTCCATGTCTAAGGACAGTAACACCAACATTTAACTCCTGTTCCATGAAGCAGTCTCCAGGAAGCTTATCTTCACTCCAGTAGCAGCTCAGTGTTATCCATGGACCTTACTGTATCACTCAGTTTTGTTCTGAAGGCACACACAGTCTGAGTAGAACCCCTAATTTATATGATTGGGATTTTTAAAAGATTTTCCACAGACACACAATCAGACAATGTGGTCCCATCTTCTCCAGAGTGAGGACTAAAACCCTTCCCAGTGTCAGAGCTTGCTGAGGAGCCTCGCTGCCCAGCACACTGGTGCTCCAGTCCCCTCCTCACGTGTCACATGTAGATGCTGATGCACTGTGGGCTCACACTGCCAAGATTCCAGCAGCCCCACGTGGGGCACTATGGGTCAACTACTCTAATATCATTAGTTATTAATACAATAATCAGCCCTTTGTCTGATTATTGTATTATCAGGAGATGAGCAATCACCTCAACAGCAGTGAGAGCATCAGTGTGACCCTGCATTGACACTGATTTATCAGAGGGAAGTGCTGGGTTGCTGAAGGACGTGCACATGCTGCTCCTCTGTCTAACCCTCTACAGCCAAAATTTCCAAAATGTTTCAGGAGAGCTGGACTTGCTTTAAAGGCCCTCAAGTGCTACCTTGGTTAGTGGCTGTTTGGCTGGAACCTGCACCAGGCTGAGCTGCTGCAGAACAGGATTTTCAGAGCAAGGCAACTACATGGTTTGTTAAACTCTCAGCAGGGAAACCAAAGGGCAGAATATACCTTAAAAGCCTTCTCGTCTAGAGCCTCTCTCCCTGGTAAGAACACTTTAAAGCACCTAAAAGCATCTTCAAGATTCCAGCCTTTGCCCATGTACAGGCAGGGTCAGCAGCCAGCAGCACCCCAGCAATTCTCGCAATCATTCAGCAGAGGCTGATGGGAACTGATTTTAGAATAAGCGAAGTTACTCACTAACGAGCTTTCTAAAAACGACCTCAGCTCTCTCCTCCTGGCTCTCAAGGTGCCAGGAATCCTCCCTCAGTCTGCAGGCACAGGGGTGCTGCCAGCACTCAGCAGTGGGATTTGTCCATCTGCCTCCAAGAGCAAGGCTGTGGCACCCAGCAATATGCATTAATATAAATCCGTGTTGTGAGCTTCCTTAATAAGGGCCCGAGATGATGCTGCAGCTTTCCCAGGCAATTAATCTGGATAATCGCACAATAGCAGGAAGTCTGGAAGCAGTGTGTGCATTATTACTGAAAATAAATAACCTGCCAGCCATCCTTCATTTGCCTTAGGGAATACACAAGGAGATAGGCCCAAAGAAAATGAGTTTTCCCAAGTTTCAAATCAATGGCATGAGCCTGGCACGGCCAGGTTTGCAGTGCTGGGAAGGTATGTGTCTTTCTTCTGAGATCTTTGCTTTTTTTATGCCTCTTTTTCAGGCTGGATGGTGATTTCTACACTTGGGGACATGCTCAGCAGTGGCAGGACGGCTCCCAGCTCAAGGAAGATGTTTTGCACATACACAAGGCCAATGAAATGCTTTCCCCTGACTGCAGCACCCCCTGCTAGCCCAGCCTCCCCCTGTCCAGTGTGCTCAGCTCTCCTGCATCCTGACTTGCAGCAATTCCTGACCTCCTCCAGCTCTCCCCTCCCAGCCTGCTGCTCCTGAGCTGCCCTGAGCAGCAGGGTGTGCAGTGTGGGCAGGGGAGCAAGCGCTGAACCCCACTGCCACTGTCCCTTCAGCACAGCTCTCCTCAGGGCTGCACTGCTGACTCCACATTACTGTCACGGCCCCTCAGCTCTGACCTTTAAAGCCACCACTTAAAACCAGGCAAGGGAAACTTCTGTATCCACTGATCCCTCTAATGAAGGTGCCAGGGAAGAGACAACCTCGGGGCTCCATGAAGGAGGCAGACAAAGTTGGAACACACCAAGAATCTGGCCTGCACACCAACTCCAGCACCTGCCTTTCCAATGTGAACTGCCGGGGAGTAAAAATTCCCCTGTTAAGATTTGCAGAGCTCCTGCACATTTCCATTTCACCCGCATAGGAAGCAGGATCTGCTCAGGGTGGCATCAGTGCATTTAGACTTAATTAGACTCTCTGGGCCCACAACACCTCAGAGGTCTGATACCATCCAAGTGTCATTTTGCATTTGCTCCCAGGAACATCTTTCCCCTCCCTGTAAATTACTGGCCACAATGACTAACGGTGCATGTGATGTATGTAAGGGCAAGCACCAGCTATTAATAACCCATGTTTTCTAGATTTCTGTTGTTCCTTTCACCCAGGGATTCCACGGAGCTGACAGTGATGAAATTGGCTCTGCTGCACCCAGGAGAGGCAGAGTTATTATCCCTGCCTTGCACACAGAGGAACCACATGGCAAAGTGAGGAGCGTGGGGTCTGTCCATGGAAGGCTGAGGCTAAGCAAGGGTTAGGACCTGAATCTGATTTTTGAGTCTAAACAGATCTGAAGCTGTTCGCATGGCTTGCAAAAGAGCCTAACAGAGATGCATCTCTGGGATGTCTGATATCCTGTCTTCTTCTCACTTCTCTTCCTGTTTCCAAAAGCCTACATAAAAAATTAATAAATATGAATGTATTGTTTTATTACAGTTGACTCAGTGGAACTGAACAGCTCAGAGAACAGGGAACAGGCAGCACTACATAAACCAGATGTCTTGTTCAAACACCCTTGGTTTTTATACCCCATCCTACTCTCTGCACACTCCTTGGATCTGGAAATCACATTTTAACATGCACCACTACCTCGGATCTCTTAATTCCCAATGTATTATTTAAACAGAATGTATCTGAGAATTACTGTGGCACAGGCACTTCAGGAATATGTGCTCCTTAAGCACTGCTGTGTCACTCAGCTGATGTGACAGCCTGCACAATCTGCAGGTATTGGGTTGTGGGTTTAGAATGCTGGAACAACTTTCTGCTCTGCCTAGAGCACACCGTGACAACAGGGAATATTGCTTTTGGAAGTAATTTTTTACAATTAAATGAAATTTCCTTTTCCAGTCCATGATGCAGTGTGGGCAATTCTAGAGCATGAGCTCAGGAAGTGAGGAATTGGAGAGAAAGCAGAGAATCCCAGAGGTGAGAGGCTCAGCAGCATCACTGGGTCACAACAGCACTGAAACCCTGTGCATCTGTGGCTTCTGAATTTCTCTTCTGGCTCCACAGTGTTTGCACAGTCCAGAGAAAATGGACTTGAGTGGCCTCACCTCTAAATTAACAAAGCTTTTTGGGGTTTTCAGCTCCTGCTGAAGGGCAGCCAGCTCTGGGTTGAAGCACAAATAACAAGGCACCTGCCTGGCACTGCCAGGGGCCAGGAGATTCTCCCCAGCAGTGGAACTGAGCTCCCAGCCCGTGGCCATACCCCTGCTGACCTCCCAAGAACAGCTCTTCAATGAGCACAGCTCGTTCAAAGCAAGCCCAAAGCCAAACCCAGCTCTGTCCCAAGGCTCGGTGCTGACTCCAGAAACAGAGTGCCACCTACTGAGTCCCACACAGTATGGAACCTCCATCCCCTGCCTGCTGGGGAGGAAGTGCTCCTAAATTCCTTCTGAGTGCTGGAAACCTGGGCTTCTCTCCGGAGTGGCAGCTGCCTTTCCTGGCTCTGGACTGCACACTGGATCAGGTGGCCTGGCAGGAAAGAGGTCGTGCTGCCATTCCCAGGGGCTCCGGGGCTGGAAACAGAAATCACCTTTTGGAAAGCGCAATCAGGGGAGGTCAGGGTGGCTGGAGCCACAGTGAGAGCAAAGTTTAATCCAGGAACAGCTATTCACAGAGACAGGTGAACAAAGAGAGCAAGAGAAAAAGCATGAGGAGATCCTCCTTGTCTCTGGAAGCATCCCTTCTCCCAGCTAAGAGCAGGCTGCTTCTACTGGAGAGTTACAGACTTTGGTCTGCCCTAGAGATAAAGGAGGAACATGGTGATTCACTGCTCCTAAACACACTAAAGGACATTTAACCACCTCCGAGTCCACCAGTTCCCTTGTGGGAGGAATTTGTTTATTTATAGAGAGTTTACTCAAAGACCTGTGCACTTGGAAACTTCTTTATCATGAATACTCACCAGAAAAAAGAGTTAAACAAGTTACAAAAATATTCTGAGTGCTGTATAATGGGAAGGGACCCAGCTAAAGGAAAAGACAAACAGTTTTAATTCTTTCTGACCCTTCTATGCAAATACTCTGCCATCCTGACTAAAGCCCCTGGGAGCACTGCTAATTAACCATGCATTCTGACAGCACAGGAGAGCCTGCTGGGTCCCAGCTCCATCCAGATTTCCCTGGATGCCTGCATCTCCTGCATGCCTGCATGTCCTGCATGCCCGCATCTCCTGCATGCCCGCATCTCCTGCATGCCTGCTTCTCCTGCATGCCTGCTTCTCCTGGATCCCTG